CCAGCCATGCTGGCTGGGGAATTCTAGGAGTTGAAGTCCACTCATCTTAAAGTGGCCAAGTTTGGACAACACTGCAGTAGCACGTCAAGGAAGCAAAAGGATCACAGCCAGCCGTAAGGACAATTTGCATAACCGTGTATTTCGGCTGAAAAATTAGGAAGAAAAACATGCATAGAAATATGGCTATGCTAATTGGCACGGTACGAAGTAGGTTGCAGAAGTGGCAGAATGCCATTTTTCTTGCAGAATCCCATTTGGCTTCTATTTCTCCACCCCCCCACCACCACATGCACCTTTTTTTATTATTATTATTCGGGAGAAATGACACAAATTCAGCAAGGGTTCCTGCAGTCTAAATAATGCCAAATGCCAGGTGGTAGAACTCTGTATTCAGCAAGGAAAGAAGCTGTGTTCTGGGCTGGCAAGGAGATCAGACATCCAGCAGCTGCCCCCCCCGCCCCCCCCAGAGATCTTGGGAGTCCTGGCCCTTAGCCTGCCTTGTTTTATCCCAGACATAGTAACGTCCTTCCAGAACTGAGAATAACCCATGAGTTGTGCTTCTCTTCACTTGCCTCCTGCCATCCATCCATCCACCCACCATCCTCCAAGCCCAAACCTCTCCTGGTGTAACCAGATGCCTTTCCAACCTAGCAGACATGAGCCCCAGAGGGACAAGCCCCACCTGTTGTTGGGGATGGAAATAGCTGAGAACATAATAAACAGGTGGTTGATATAAAGCAAAAGGGATGGACTAGGAAGGGGAGGGTAGCAAAGTGAGCTCTTCATGGGAGGATGTGGAAGCCCACAGCAGCCGGAGACTGGATGTCTAGCAGGTGGTGTGTGTTGGCAGCTGGTCCCTTAGAAGCTGCTTAGGACCAGCGGAGTGCTATCTGGGGCGCACGAATGTGAGATGGCCCTGGGGAAGTGTAGGGGGGAATAAAAATCAGGGGTGAGGCATGAGACAAATGGTACAGGAGGCCTTGGTGTTACCGCACTGTTGAATTGCTGAAGAAATGTGACATGAATGCAATGGAACGCACACAGGCCGAGTTGGCGGGGCAGGGGGCTCATAGCTCTGTTTCAACAAACGTGGGATTAGCTATTTTGGTACTATTGTGGAAAGCTTCCTCCTGCTGGGGTTGCAGCTGTTGAAAGACCAACAGGCTGTGGAGAAAGGACGAGGAATAGGACAGACAAGAATGCCAAACATCTCTGTAATGCCTTTCTTTAAAAAAAAATTCAAGAGTATATTCACACCTTTATTCTGTATCTCTGTGGCTTGCATGTGTGTTCCGGATACTCTGGAGATCCTTGAATACTTACCAGGGCCCTATAGTGAGAATAGCAGTCATATTAGATCAGCTGC